GGACAAAGCACGGAGAGACAAGAGATGTGAGTAATAGTAGTCAAGGGCATAGTAAAAGCTGTGGATCATCTAATCTTGCCATGAGTACATGTGAAGCTGATCGTCTTGAGGAGATGACAGATGCGATTGAACGGGAACTTGACGATTGTCCTGAAATGTTTGATAGATTGAAGTGTGATGCTGAGACACCTCTATATGAAGGTTGTACTGATTTCACAAAATTGTCTGCAGTGTTGAAACTGTATAATTTGAAAGCAAGAAATGGGTGGAGCGACACAGGCTTCACAGAACTGCTGTTGCTTGTTAAACAAATGCTACTGAAAGAAAATGAGCTTCCAAGTAAAACGTATGATTCAAAGCAAGTGTTGCGCTCTGTCGGCCTCAGCTATGAGAAGATACATGCTTGCCCCAATGATTGCATTTTGTTTAGGAAGGAGTATAAGTCACTAACTGAGTGTCCTAAGTGTAATGCATCACGCTACCAAGAGAATGGGAAGAGCCCGAAGAAGGCATTATGGTATTTTCCCATAGTGCCAAGATTCAGACGCTTGTATAGTAATGTAGAAGATGCAAAAAATTTAAGGTGGCATGCAGATGAAAGGGTTAAAGATGGCATGCTTCACCATCCTGCTGATTCTCCAGAATGGAAGAAGTTTGATATTGAGTATCCTGAATTCGGGGAAGAAGATAGAAATCTACGCCTTGCATTAGCCACCGACGGGATGAACCCTTATGGGATGCAAAGCAGCACCCATAGCACATGGCCAGTGATTTTGTTTATATATAACCTTCCTCCATGGCTATGCATGAAACGCAAGTATTCAATGATGTCTATGATAATCTCTGGGCCAAAGCAACCGGGAAATGACATAGATATATATCTAGCTCCATTAATTGAAGACTTGAAAGTATTGTGGGAGAATGGAGTTGATGTATATGATGCATATAAGGAAGAAAAATTCAAGTTGAGAGCTATGTTATTTGGCACAATTAACGACTTTCCTGCGTATGGTAATCTCTCAGGGTATAGCATTAAAGGACAACTTGGTTGTCCCATTTGTGAAGAGAGCACAGATTCCATAAGGTTGAAGCATGGAATGAAAAATTCATATATGGGACATCGTAGATGGTTGCATCGTGATCATCCTTACCGGCGATTCAAAAAATATTTTAATGGGAATTCAGAAGAAGGTAAGGCACCAACACCGTTGATTGGGGAGGATGTATTTCAAAAGGTGAAAGATATAGATTGTGAATTTGGAAAACCTTTCGCGAAGCATGTTGGGACAAGTGGGTGGAAGAAGAGGTCTATTTTCTTTATACTGCCGTATTGGATAACCCTGAATGTGAGACATTTTCTTGATGCTATGCATATTGAGAAAAACGTATGTGAAAGTCTGTTTGGCACATTACTCCATATTCCCGGGAAGACTAAAGATGGCATAAATGCCAGGCTAGACATGGTTGAAATGGGGATAAGGGAGGAATTGGCACCAGAGGATAAGGGAACTCGTACATTTCTTCGTCCGGCAGCTCACACCCTTTCTAGAAAAGAGAAAAGTAGTTTTTGTGAGTTTCTTGCTTCAGTAAAAGTGCCGGAAGGTTACTCTTCTAACATTAGTAACCTTGTGTCAATGAAGGATATGAAGTTAAAAGGTTTAAAATCTCATGACTGTCATGTCTTAATGGAAAACTTTATTCCAGTGGCAATACGGGCTATTTTACCTGATAAGGTACGAGTTACGATCACAAAGTTATGTTTCTTCTTTAAGTCTCTTTGCAGCAAAGTGATTAATCCTAGTAAATTGCCAAGATTGCAAACCCGAATCATAGTTACGTTATGTGAACTTGAAATGTATTTTCCTCCGGCCTTTTTTGACATCATGGTCCATTTAACCATCCACTTAGTTAGAGAGGTCCAACTGTGTGGCCCAGTGTATTTAAGATGGATGTACCCAGTTGAGCGTTACATGAAAATATTGAAAGGGTATGTGAAAAATCGAAGTCGGCCAGAGGGTTGTATTGTAGAACGATATATTTGTGAAGAGGCTACTGAATTTTGTACCCATTACTTAAAAAATGCAAGTGATATTGGGGTTCCAATGTCTCGTCATGAGGGAAGGACAGATGGAGAAGGGATTATGGGAAAGAAAGTCGTAACTATTTCAAACCAACAGTGGGAGCAGGCACATCTATATGTATTGCACAACTCCAAAGAGATTGAGGACTATGTGCATGAGCATATTGATGAGCTAAAGAGGGATAATCCCAATAAACTTGAAAGTTGGTACACCAAAACACACAATAAACAATTTACAGCATGGTTGAGAGAGCATGTGCATGGCAAGTATAATAATGATCCTAATTCTGTTTTGAAGAAATTAAAGTTGTTGGCAGATGGACCGAGCAAACATGTGATTTCTTTCACAAGCTACCTTATGAATGGGTTCACTTTCTATACTAAACAACAAGATGATCGGAGTAAACAACAAAATAGTGGCGTAACTCTTGTAGCTAGTACCATGCATATATCGAGTGCCAAAGATAAAAATCCTATCTATGCACGTATGTCATACTTTGGAGTGATTGAGGATATTTGGGAGTTGGATTACATTGAATTCAGAGTTCCGGTATTTGGTTGCAAATGGGTGGATAATAATAATGCATTGAGGATTGATGACTTAGGGTTTATACAATTGAATTTGAATAAAGAAGGATACAAGGAAGAGCCATTCATTTTGGCTTCTCAGGCTACGCAAGTGTTTTATGTCCCTGACCCGGCTGCCAAAGGATGGTCTATTGTTTTGTTGACTAATAAAATGGATATTGAAGAGACGGGGTATGAAGACAATGCAATTGAAGATGATCCATTTCAAGGGGCCTCACTTGATTCTCATTTAAATGAAGATCAATCCATGTATGTCAGGCATGATCACAACGACGGAATATGGATTTCAAAGAGGGGGAAAGTGTTTCGTAAGAAGATCAAAATAATTCAAACCAAGAAGAACATGCAAAAACATAAGAGTAGAAAAAGAAAAAGATCTTCTTAAACATGCATGTAAATTCTCTCATTATTTTCTTTGATTCTTTTATTTGTTTTAATTTTGTTCAAATAAATTTCGTCATTAATGACTTTATTTTCATTTAATGGATTCTGATTCATTTTGTTTACTTCAATTTCATTGCAGATGGCAGACGATAGCGGATCTAGCATTGATAACCCATCTCAGCCGAGAGATGCCTCTGAGCAGAAGAGACAGTTGCAAGAGGAGGCAACACGCATACAGAGGGGCCTTTGTGTCATGCAAGAGGTCGTGAAAGCTCGAACAGAAGGAAAGAAATTTGTCGTACAGTGGAATAAGAAAGGACAAGCTGTACGGTCAAATAAATTTATCAGCTATATTGGGGCAGTGGCACGAAGCACCGTGCCCATTACAGCGCAGCACTGGAGGAGGGTTGATCGTTCAGTGCGAGACACTATTTGGACAATGTATCGGTAATATATTATAACTCAAATTTCGTTTTCTTACAAGCTGCGTGACACTAATGTGTTGTTTTATATGTTTTGCAGTCTGCATTTGATATAGATGAGAGCAGGAAGAGGTTTGTGGAGGGGAAGGCTGGGAGGGCACTACGCTCTTTTCGATATTTTGTCACACACAAGTACTTGAAGGATCCTTCCACAGCCGACGAGTCCCAGGTTCCTAGCTTGATACGGGACTTGGTCAAACCAGAGGATTGGGCTGCTTTTGTGACGTCACGTCGTGATAGGCAATTTCAAGTAATAATCCTCGCTCTTTTTGATATTAAATAGTCCATTTTGTTTAATCTATATATTGTTTAATTGTGAATCTACTTTGTTTTTGCAGGAATTAAGTTCCCAAAATAAGGAAAGAGTAAAGAAGAATGAGTATCCCTACCGAAAGGGCCGCTTGGGTTATGCGGGCCTTGAGCAAGAGGTGACTCATCAGATGTCACTGTATCAGTCAGATGGTGGGCACTGGCCAGGCAAAATAAAGATGGCCAAATTGATAATCCTCGCGTTAAGGAGGTCGTGGACAGGATGGTGAGTATTATTCTAAATTAAATAATCTTCACGTTATTGTCAAATATCTTTAAGTATGAATAACTATATCAATGTTTGTTGCACAGGAGAGTTTGTCCCAGGAAGTTTCGCAGGGGGCATATTCTGCAGATGACCAGGATATATTGAGGAGGGCATTGGGGACTCCTAACCATCCTGGTCTTCTTAGGGGCGTCGGTTATGGAGTCACCAAGAGAGATTACTTTGGGTACCGACAAAAGCCCTCTTCATCGTGCACGCCTTCCTCTACTGAGTTCATGGAGCTGAAGGAAGAAACACGCTGGTTAAAGGAGCAAGTTAAAGCACAAGCGCTCCTAATCGAGCAGTTGATCAAGAATCAAGCACCACAGCCGGCTCCAAATCTCAGCCCAAGTGGCAAAGACAGCTGCACATTCCCCTTGCTACCTGAGGTATAATACTTATGTTTATATAATTACATTCAATAATTTATATATCTAGCTAACTTGTCTCTCATGTTAAACAAATCAGGGTGAAGCGGACGTTCAGTGTATGGCGGATAGCCCTAAACATCACACTGTTGCAACGGGCCGCATGTTCAATTTACCGGGGGAGAGTATAATTCATAATGTTCCTCTCCCTGCTGATCATGTGAGGGTGCAGTTGAACACTGCTATTGATGCGAATTATGCCCTCCCGATACCCACCCCAGATACAGAGACAGTGGCTCAAGCAGTGGGTAGCTTTGTCGCTTGGCCTGGCCGTCTTCTTACATTAGGACATCCTTCAAAGGTATATATGTATAGGTCTACAAATTCAGCTGATTTAAAATAAACTCTATTTTAATTACTAACAGTCTGTTTGTCAGTCTAAGGGGAAGAAGAGCCTATTGGGTGATCACTCATTATCATCACCACAGAAGCAACCCTCTGAGCCCGTTCAAGTAGTATCATCAAGATTCCGAATATGTCTTGAGGAATATGCAATTGGGGCCAGATTAGAACATGGCGAGGATTTCATGATTCCCCTAGAGTTTGAGCCAGAGGTATACGGTCGACCCTCGTCAGATTATGTCATAAATGAAGTATTGAAAGAGATTCTGACGCATGGAATGGCCAGCACAAATGCCTGTAACTTTTATACCAGGTATTTGTTAAAACCTTAACTAAATACTTTAAGTACTTGAACATTTATTCTATTGATATCTTCGTTTGTTGATTTAGATATCTTTTCAAGAACTTCATAGCCCCTGGTGGCCTTGATGAAAAGTTCAAGATTATCAGCCCCCACACTTTTGCTGGCCACGGACCTAATATGAAGAAAGACTTATCCAGAGACTTGTTGGATATCTTCATTTCTAGGGCAACACCGGGGGCTCAGACTTTGTTTTTGGCGCCTTATTGTCAAGGGTAAACTTTCCTAAATTTTTTCATTTTCAAAATAATTTGTAATAGTTCTAATTGTCTTTCTTATACTTAGGGGACACTGGATGCTAATTGTGGTCAATCCCACAAAGCCAAGGATTTAGTATCTTGATTCTCTTCATGGGGATCCAACCAATCGACCATTTATGGTTTCATTGTTCAACAAGTAATATTTATCTCTATTATTTAAATTTAATTTAATTTCTTGCTTCAATCAAATTTTTGACAATCATTAATATTCAATTTTATTGTCTTCTCAGGGCTTTGTGGCTATACCGCACAAATCAGGCCTTACCCTGCCCCCCGGTAAAAAACGGCCAATTTGACGATACCTTCCCGTGGAAGAAAGTGAAGGTATTCACTACCATTATTTACTATTCTACTAAATATGGTTTATTTATATGATTGACTAATATTATTTCCTTTTCCATTCTTTACAGTGCCCACGTCAGCCCAACAAGAGCTCCCATTGTGGATATTGCGTGATGAAATTTATGAAGGAGATAATTCTGCACAATGCTGACACAATTCCCACGCAGGTAATATGCATTTGTTAAGGTTCAATTTATATATTTAAGAATTATTGTACTTACTATAGCTTTACATTTCTATCTAACTTAAGTCATAATTTGTGGTTGCATACAGTACTTTGCCGACCATATTGCACAGTGTATTCATCTGCTCAGATGGAAGAAATCATTGAGGAGTTGGCGATGGCCTTATTCCGTCAGTGGGCACAACATAGATAGGGAAGTGTACATTAAGACAGTGTATGTACGTACAGCTAGCTTTGGTTTCAATATAATTTTGGTTTTGGTTCATTTTTGGCTGTTGGTTAGTTTTAGGCATTGCACAACTTTGGCAATTGGCTAATTTTGGAATTGGTTCACCTTTTGTACTTGCCAGAATTTTAATATATCACAGTTGGTTTTCATTGGTTCATGTATATATATGATAATGTAAATTATTTTCGGTTCATTAAGATATATGTATATGGCTGAATTGGTTTGAATGCTGGCCTGCATGATTCTGTTGAATGAGCCTTTGTTATCGGTTTCAAAATTACAGGGGGTTGCTGGCAAAGGAGAACGAATTTTTTTAAAAAAAAACCAATAATACTTGACGGTTATTAGTTAAAACCGTCAAGTATTCTAACATACTTGACGGTTACTTTTAAAACCGTCAAGTATTAAATAATACTTGACGGTCACTTTTGGAACCGTCAAGTATTACATAATACTTGACGGTTTTTGGAACCGTCAAGTATAATCTCAAAATAATTGGTGGTTTTTCTCTAGTAACCGTCAAGTATGATTTAAATATTTGACGGTTAATAACCGTCAAATATTTGCTGTTGAAATATATGACGCCAGTATAGTTGACGGTTTTTAACCGTCAAATATGATCCAAAATAACCGTCGAGTATTTTTCATTTTGTAGTAGTGGTTTGACCATATGAAATTCTAAGCAAATGATAGAGTTTGGACCTAAAACTTAATAGTCCAATAGATCACATTTTTAGGATTAAAACAAGTTGTATTTTATTAAATTTAGAGTTTTGTACAAAGACTTATGCTCTTCCAAAATTGGGTATAAATCCTGAAAAATTGAAAAAATGACCAAATGAACAATGCATCTTAAAATGAAAACTGGACACACATGAGCTGGATTCATACTCTGGTTATATTTTTTCCTTAAAGATCTCATTACAGGCTTCAAGTAGGACTTAGAACCATATTGTTTTAATTTTTTTTAGAATTAGTTATGTTTTTTCAAATTTTAGAGAAATTAAGTGTTAGATTTAAGGTTTTGATGATAACAATTTAAGTATTTTCTGGTTCAGTAAGTTGAGCGATCAAAGGTTAATTGATCATGTGTCAGATAAAATGTCCCGCTATAATAGTAACTTAGCAATAAGATTGATCAATAACTTACTAGATAAATCAAAATTTATGAGCTATTCGATCAATTTATCGATCATCATTAACGATGTTTAGTGTACAAGTTTGCAGAAGATTATCAATCAATTAATCGATAATTTAATGTTTGTTCAATAGATGGAAAAAGGTACACAATTCTAGTAAGTATTTATCAATCACCTGATTGATCAACTAGTTATTGATGATAACACAGATAAATGGTAAAGTCTTCATACTTACTTTATATTTTGTCAAATTCCCCTTTTATCAATTACTTCATCAATCAATCATTAATTGATCACCTGTTCTAACATTGCTTGTTGACTTACTGGGTTATCAATAATAGGTTCTTTTTAAGTTGATTATCAGGATCCTTAATAGATCAATTGATCAATTGGTCCTTTATCGATCAAATGATCGATCATCATCACCTTCATTGCAGTTACTTGTTTTTGAACCATTTTTCAGATCACCTGATCGATTATTGATTTATCGATTAAATGATCAATCATCCAATCTTCTAAAACTTCTATTTTCACATAATGTAATTGATCAAAGTTTTTCCTAGCATTTCTGAAATAAGTTTTCAATGGTAATTTATCAATCACTTAATCGATTAAGCTTTAATTGATCACTTACTCGATCACCATATATTCTGTAACTTCATTGTGAAAATATTTTTTAAACCTTTTATCGATCAAATCTCCTATCATCCATTTATCGATAAAGTATTCGATCAATGCTTTGTGAAAATCTATTTCTCTCATACTTAGCTTTATCGATAATATGATCGATCAAACAGTTTTTGATCACTTATTCGATCATTGAATCAGTTCATTTCATAACAACTATTCATAGTGATCTTCAAAATCTTTTGAATCTTAGTTCTCCAGGCCAATTGTTTACCTCTAGGTTCTTCCTTTAAATTTCAATAACCCCTTCTTAGAAATTTCAAAGTTCTTAGTCTCGCTTCTAGACAACTTTCCTTTGAAAATTTCTGCTAGCCAATCCTGTAACTGCACTTCCTAGATTTGATCCTCGAGCAGAGCTGTAAACTGTGTTCTACCTCCACTTTCCTCTACCAGCTGTATCTGATATAGAGGACCCCAATCTCTGAAATCCTCTACCAGTTTCTGCTCCTTGATCATTAGCGATGCCACTTGCACTGCCTTCCTACTCAAGGCATCTGCAACCACATTCACTTTGCCAAGACAGTACTTAATCTGAAAATCATAATCCTTAAGCAAATCCATCCATCTCTTGCTGCCTCATATTCAACTCTTTCTGATCATGGAGATACTTGAGGCTCTTATGGTTGTAAAACAATTCTATTATTGCTCTGTACAGGTAATGTCTCCATATCTTTAATGCATAAACTATTGTTACCAATTCTAGGTTATGGGTCAGGTAATTCTCCTCATGACATTTCAACTAGCGTGAGGTGTAGTCTACTACCTACCCTTATTGCATGAGCACACATCCCAATCCCTGCTTGCTAGCATCTATATAAACCATATAGGGTTGCAAAGGATGTACAAGTACGGGAGTAGAAGTAAGATTCCTTTTTAGCTCCTGAAAACTAGCCTTACTCTTCTCATCCCACAAGAATGGCTAGTTCTTCCTAGTTAACTTGGTCAGCAGAAGAGCAATCTGAGAGAAGTCCTTAATAAATCTTCTGTAATACCCTGCTAGTCTGAGGAAACTTTTGATCTTAGTCACCATCTTGGGTCTCTCCTAATTGAGTACTATCTCAATCTTTGACAACAACTCCCTCTCAGGAAATCACATGGCCGAGAAATCAGACTTCTTGTAGCCAAAACTCATACTTACTAAGTATGGCCACAAGCTACTTCTCTTTCAGGGTATTTAGGATGATTCTCAAGTGTGTCTCATGCTCTTCAGGAAACTTGGAGTACACCAGGATGTCATCAATAAACACAACCATAAACTAATCTAGGTAAGGACGAAAGATCCTATTCACGGATTCCATAAATATCGTAGGTGCATTGGTCAATCCGAACAGAATCATTAGGAACTCATAATGCTCATAGTGAGTTCTAAACGTAGTCTTAGGGACATCATCAGGCTTAATCTTGAGTTAGTGGTAGCCAGATCTTAAATCAATCTTAGAGAACACACTGGCACTAACTAGCTAGTCTAACAGATCATTTATCCTATAGAGCGGATACTTGTTCTTAACTGTGACTTTATTCAACTCCCTATAGTCTATGCATAATCTTAGGTTACTGTCCTTATTCTTGATGAATAACACTGGAGCACCCCATGGCGAAACACTCGGTCTAATAAAACCTTTCTCAAGTAATTCTTCTATTTGCTTCTTTAGTTCTACTATTTTGTTCAGGGCCATTCTATAAGGAGTCTTAGAAATTGGTCCTACTTCAGGTACTATATCAATCATGAATTCTACTTCTCTATCTGGAGGTAGTCCTGTGACCTTAGTCAAAAACACTTCCAGAAACTCCTTAACAACTCGGATTTCTCCTATCCCTTCCTCAACCTCTACTCGCACTGAGAAGAAAATGAAGAATCCTTAGCAACCTTTCTATAGGCATCTTCCCGCTTGAGTTTCTATTATGAAGTTCAATCTAACTTTCAGATTCAACTCTAATTCTCTCAAAGGCAAAATCAGGGTTTTGTCCTTACAGTCCATCAGGATATTATGGGATGACAACCAATTCAATCTGATTACCACATCAATTTCATGAAAGGGCATACATATGAAGTCTATGGTAGTACAACAGTGCTCATAACAAACTATACAGTTTAAGCACACATCGGATGTAATTACCCTATTATGTGTTGGTGTGGATACATGTATATTATACGGCAATGTATTCATAATTAAGCCAAGTTTTTCAACACAGGCATACGAGATAAAAGAATGACTAGCACCGAATCAAACATTACAATCACTAGGGGATTATTAATTATGATCGTACCTTGGATCATCTTCAAAGATTTCTGGGCTTCTTCCCCCGTGAGAGCAAACACTCAGCCTTGGGTGTGCAGTCTTTCCTTTTTTGTGTTCTGTGGGCATTCTCTTGAGAAA